CTTTTCTGATGAGGGGTCTAGGCCCGAAACGTCAGCCTCTCTGCTCCTATGATGCTGCTTGGCCTGCTGTGTTCATCCAGCCCTGCACCTTGTTGTCTCGGATTCTCCAGCATCTGCAGTTCCTACTATCTCTGATATAGAGAATCATAGCTGGGTCAGAGTCAATATGGCTTTGTGAAAGGGGAATTTTGCTTGACAAATTTATTAGAGATCTTTGAGGATGTAATGAACACGTGCATAAATATTGTACATTTAGGTTTCCAAAGACCACCTTTTTAAGGTGTCAGATGTGAGATTATTACACAAGACAAAGGCACATGGTGCTGGGAATGATATATGACTGGTTAGCTAACAAGAAGCAATCCGGATACATGGGTCATTTTAAGATTGGCAAACTGCGACTAATGAAATGCTGTAGGGATCTGTGCTGGGATCTAAACTGTTTATGATCTGCAGTATTGACTTGGATGACGGAATCAATTTTATCATGTTAGGATGGGTAGGAAACAATTCTTTTGTAATTCAGAACTTCAACATTGCTGTAAAGAGAGACCTATGTTGCAGAAACCTTCTTTTGTCTTGTACTCTTTGGGGCAAATGCAAGAGTATCCCCCCATCCTCTAAATCTGTCAGCATTACCTGTCTCTTTGATAAATCAACTCTTGACCCCATTGTCCCTGCTGACTACTAACCCCATCTTCAACCTCTCTTTCTTCTCCACAATGCCTCTTGTATGTCATTTCAAGCTGGGACAACAGAAATCTATTCAGTCAGGCTCTTAGCCGATTATGTCAAGGTCATTTTGTCTTGTCTTATGATATTATGTTGTGCTAATGGATATCATTAACACACACCAATTAAAATTGCCTAATTTAAAAATAATAATGATGTGATGGTAATTAATCATTTCATACAGTAATTTAACTAAATAAACCTTTGATTTCGAAGATTTCCTCTGCCACATTCAATGAATTAATGGCTGACCTGTGAGCAAATTGTGTACACAACTGTGTCCCATATTGCTTAATACCTGCTGCCTTTTCCCAAATTATAATTGTGATTTAGTCAATAAATCTGTGTAGGAAATGTCTAAAGCCATTGCTATAAAACCACCATTCTTTTTTAATTCACCTACATTTTTGTCCCAAACACACTTTTTTTGTTGCAGCCATGTTTTTCAGCTTATCAAAAATAATCTGTTTAACTTCTATTTACTTGTTCCCATGATTCTGTGATTTAGAGGTAATAACTTTGTATTAGCTCATCATTAGGAGGGTGAAAAAGACGCCTTGTTATATAAATTTCTGAAGAAGGGTCCAGGCCCAAAACGTCAGCTTTCTTGCTCCTCTGATGCTGCTTGGCCTGCTGTGTTCATCCAGCTCTATGCCTTGTTATCTCTTGTTATACAAATGTTTGTCTTGTTTACTCGTTTATGACTTTTAAGAGAAAAGCCATTGAAATGGAAAATTTGTATTGAAGTGTTCATTCTTCTTCAAATTGTGACATGACTTCACCTCTCCCTTCGCCAGGTTCATAGTCTTTGCCATTCTTCAGCTCTTTAATTTCACCTGGCAGCACTAATATTATTATTGTTCTCGACCACCAACTACCCCCCAACCCCGCCCCAAGTTTTCCATCGCCCTTGGTTATAGATTTGACCACAGTGCTCCATTGTCTTCGTCACTTTGTCATCCTGTCACCTTCCTTTCAAATTACTTCTGGAGACATTTCTTCTTGATTTTACTTTCTCTTTCCTTCAGTCCCCTCATTTTCTTCTTCCAGCTCAGGTGTAAGGAGCTCAGAGGCACCACTATACACATGAAATGTACTACAGTAAGACTTAGAGCATATAGAACACAGGACAGTACTGTACAGGAACAGGCGATTTGGCCTACCATGGCTGTGTTGATCATGATGCCATGTTAAACTAATCCTACTTGATAGACACCATTTAAGTTGCCAGTGTAGTGTTCATAAGATGCATGTGCTTTTTTTTATAAAAAGTATAAACTTATTTGTCTGTGTTTTTGTTTTCTTAACCTAGGGAATCGTGGTTAGTTCTGAAAAGTGAGCATGGACGACGGGAAGCCTGTGTGGGCTCCACATCCCCTGGATGGGTTCCAGCTGGGTTCCATTATTGACATTGGTGTTGACTCACTAACAATTGAACCTTTGAATCAAAGAAACAAGGTGAGCATGATACTGAAATGTCATTTATATTGGCTATCCTTGAGCTATTCTTTTTTTCTGAAAGGAAATTCTCCATTTTATTTGAATACTTTCAGTGAATTGTTAACATGCCATTGACTATAATTCAAACCAAAGTGCTATTCATTGGCTGTGAAACGTTTAGGGACATCCTGAGAACATGAGAAGAAATATGTCAAGTTCACGCTGATTTGTGTCTGTGGAGGATTATTGCATGTGCTATGTGCAGGACAGTGAGTGACATTGACTAGTGAGTTACAAGGTCAACCCACATAGTAGTGCTACCAGTCTAGATGTAATTTTCCTGTCACGTGCTGGAAGTAACTGTTAGTATCATTCCTTGGGGCCATTTTATCAGTGGCTTTAAATCTGGACATTGATTTTCTGTTGAGGGATTTAGTTCCTTCCCATTCACTCTGCCAAGGACCCATACAACTTACATCTCAATCAAAACTCGTATCAAATTCACGTACTTCCAAGAAAACAACCTAGTCTGTGCAATTTTTCCTTGGAGCTGAAACTCTCCATTTGTGAGCAACGTCCTTTGTAAATTTCCTCTGCATGCTACAAATTGTGATCTCTCACTTTCTTTAATATGATGACCAGAAATCTAGCCATAACCTACAGAGCGATGATATAATTCCAATGTCACCTTCCTGCTTTCCATTCCTTGACTAGGTTTGAGTTATAGGGAGAGGCTGAATCGGCTGAAGCTTATGCCCTGGAGTGTTGGAGGCTGAGGGACAACTTATAGAAGTTTGTAAAATCACAGGGGACACATAGGGTGAATAGCCAAGGTCTTTTTCCTAGGATGGGGTAAGTCCATAACTAGAGGGCCTAGGTTTAAGGTGAGAATGGAAAGATTTGAAAAGGACCGGAAGGGTAACTGCCTCATGCAGAGGGCAGTCACGTGTGGAATAAGCTGCCACAAGAAACGGTGGGGGGAGTACAATTACAAGATTTTAAAAGGCACCTGGATGGGTATATGAATAGGAAAGGTTTTGAGGGATATGGGCCAAATGCTGGCAAATGGGACTAGGTTATATTGGGGTGTCTGGTCAGCATGGACGAGTTGGACCAGAGGGTTTGATTCCGTGCTGTAGGATTCTGACTCTACAATAAATACAAGTATCCTTTGACACCTTGACCATCAATGATCAGTGGATGTGTGTGTGGGAAATTTGTCTCTCTCAACCTTGATTGAGTTGTTTTTTTTTTTGAGAAAGTAATCAAAAAGACTGAGGGCAGAGCAGTAGACATGGTCAATATGGACTTTAGTAAAGTCTTTGATAACGTTCTGCATGGTAGATTGATTTAGTAAAGTTAGATCATATGGATTCAGGGAGAGCTTATCAATTGAATACAAGATTGGCTTGACAGTAGGAGACCGAGCGTGGTGGAGAGTTACTTTTCAGACTGGAGGCCTGTGACCAGTGGTGACTTGCAGGGATCGGTACTGGGTCCACTTTTGTCATTTATATAAACTATTTTGATGAGAATTTAGTAGGAATGGTTAGTAAGTTTGCAGATGACACTAAAAGTGGTATAGTCAGTAGTGAAGGAAGTTATCTAAGATTACAAAGGACCTTGATCATTTAGGCCAACGGGCTGAGGAGTGACAGACGGCGTTTAATTTGGATGTATGCAAGGTATTGCATTTCGGTAAAACAAACAAGGCAGGACCTATGCAGTTAATGGTAGGGCACTAGGTAGTGTCTATGACAGTGTCGATAAGAATGACCCCCCTCAGTCCTTGTGGCGACAAAGTCGTGCCTTCACATTGCGAATACACTTCACCATATTGCATGATGCTTTCACTGTGTTAAATGGGATAGATATTGAACAGACCTAGCTAGTCAAGACTGGGAATCCATTAGGCATTGTGGACCAGCACCACCAGCAGAATGATACTTTAACACAATCTGTGACTTCATGGCCTGGCATATCCCCCACTCAATCATTACTATCAAGCCAGGGGATCAACCCTGGTTCAATGAAGAGTGTACCAGGAGCAACACCAAGTGTACCTAGTAGCAGGTCGTCAATCTAGTGAAGCTATGAATAGGGCTAATTATGTGCCAAACAGCTTAAGCAGCTAGTGATAAGGGGAACTAAGTAATTCTGCAACTATCAGATTAGATCCAAGCTTTGTACCCTGCCACATCCAGTTGTCAATGGTGATAAACACATAAACAACAAGATAGAGAAGGAAAGCTCCACAAACCTCCCCATCCTCAATAATGGGGAACCCAACACCATCAGTGCAAGCCGATGCGCCAGTCTTCAACCAGAAGTGTTGAGTCCGTTTCTGCCTCCCCCAGAGGTATGTGTTTATCACCATTCACAACTGGATGTGGCAGGGTACAAAGCTTGGATCTAATCTGATAGTTGCAGAATTACTTAGTTCCCCTTATCACTAGCTGCTTAAGCTTTTTGGCACATAATTAGCCCTATTTTCTGAAGAAGGGTCTAGACCCGAAATGTCAGCTTTCCTGCTCCTTTGCTGCTTGGCCTCTGTTCATCCAGCTCTACACCTTGTTATCTCACGAAAAAGCTGGTTGTGGTTTTAGAGGTCAGTCATCTCAGCCCCAGGGCATTTCTGCAGGAGTTCCTCAGTAGTGTCCGAGGCCCAACCATTTTCAGATGATTCATTTTCTCTCCATTATGATGTCAGATGTTCATTGATAGTTGTACAATGTTCACCATTTGCCACAACCCAGGGACTGAAGCAATCCACATTCAACTATACCAAGACCTGGACAATATCTACTCTATACCAAATGGATTGCAGCAGTTTGAGGGCAGTCACCACCATCTTCTGAGTGGGAATTAGGGATGGGAAATAAATGCTGGCTTAACCAACTATGCTCAAATCCTATGAATAATTTTTTAAAAAGTTGCCTTTTCTCCTTTTTATTTTGAGAAGACACATGCGCAGTATTCACTAAGAGCCCTGTCCATTCATTCTGCTATTGCACACTGTTTCCCTTTGTTTCCAATTGGCCATATTGTTTGCTTATTTTCTTGTTGTTTGTGTCTGAGTTTTCCATGATTTTTCTTCACGTGCCAATTTTTTTGTGCTTTGACTTTGCTTTCCGAATGCCTTTATTTCCCTTTTTTAAATTTCACCCTGCTTTTTTATACACCTGTTAGCTTCCTGCACTGTTGAAATCTATCTGACATTAGCTTCCCTTTTTTTTGCTTTAGTCTACTATTTATTCTCTTTTGATGTTCAGCTAACCCTGGATTTCTTTTTCCTTTGGGGAAACACGTTTGTTCTAAACTTCCTTTGTCATCCCTGAAAACCCCTTACCATTCTGACTATTTTACCTCAAAGTAGTTGTTTCCTTTTACTTCTGTGAAATCGCACCTTGGTTTAATAACATTAGGTGTTCCTTGATTTCATATTTCTAGTCTCGCTTTGTCCTCCTCCATAATCCAGTTAGATTTAATATAGTTATGATTGCTGTTTAAAAAGTTCTTCCATGGATATTCTTGCGCGAATGTAAAACTGAGCCTAGAACTGCTGTTTCTTTTTACTGGGTGTGTTAAGTACTTACTGCAAAGGTTTCCATGATATCCCTTGAATTCAGTGCCTTCTACACCTTTTATATTGATATTATCATTTTCAGTATTAGAACAGATGAATATCTTCTAACAGTTGTATGCCTGTTGTTGTAATATTTGTACATAATGAGCTGTAATCAATGTCAGTTGGATTCTTCAACATCATGCTATCAACACCCAGTTTCTTATTTTGTGGGGCATGACAAAACCGTTGCCACATCAAGACAACTCATCCCTCTCTTTAGCCATAATTTGCTTTTTTTAACCGGTATTTGAAAACATTTTTTAAATCTTCCAATCCAGCCAATATCCTTTCTGCAAAACCCTGTAATCTGGAAAGTTGATGGCAAAACTTTTCCCAAGACTGTATATTGACATTCTGACATTAAAAGACTGACAATGGTTCCATATTCCATGCTGGGATCTGAGCACTAGATTTAGGCTGACCATCGGGGAATGCTGGAGGTACAATCATTCTGATGCTGTTTGATAAATACTTGGTAAATGCGATATAATGTGTTTATCTACTTTGGTCACAAAAACAAGAAGGCAGATTGTTATCTGAATGGTGGCGGTTTAGGAAGAGGTGAGGTGCAGTGAGACTTGGTGTCTTGGTGGGACAGCCAATGAATGTTTACATGCAGGTGTAGTAGAGGTGAGGAAAGCTAATGGCATGCTGCCCTTCATAGTGAGGGGATTTGAGTATCTGAGTAAGGATGCTGCAGTTATACAGGGCCTTGGTGATGCCACATCTTGAATATTGTGTGCAGTTTTGGTCTCCTAGTTTGAGACAGGAAGTTCTTGCTGTTGAAGTATTTGAGTGAAGGTTCATCAGACTGATTCCTGGTATGGCAGGACTGACATACGAGGAAAGACCGGATCAACTGGGCTTGTACTCACTGGAATTTAAAAGAATAAGGGGGAATCTCATAGAAACGTATGAAATCCTGATGGGACTAGACAGACTAGATGCAGGAAGAATGTTCCTGAAGTCAGGGAAGCCCAGAACAAGGATTATACCATTCAGGACTAAGATAACGAAGGAGTTGTGAACCTGTGGCATTCTCTCTCACAGGAAGCTGATGTGGTCCAGTTCATTGGATATATTGAAGAGGGAGCTGGATGTAGATCTTGTGGCTAAAGGGATCAAGGGGTATGGGGAGAGGGCAGGAATGGGATACAGTACTAAGATTGCATGATCATACTGAAATGTGCAGGCCCAAAGGGCTTACTCCTGCACTGGTATTTTTATAAACATTAAAGCCTCCATAGCACTGTTCCCCAAATGGATTAACCATTTATCTTTAACATCATAAACTCTTTGTCTGGCCGTTCACTTAATTGCGATTTGAGGTGGCCATTTTTCTACACAGCAACAGTAATTCCCTGGCTAAAAGCATTTTTGTGATGCTCTC